AGCAGACACAGCTGAGTCTATCTAATGGAGAACTGAATACAGCAGGAATTTTTTAATCTCTCTCCAAGAACTCACTGTAGGGGGGGAAAAAAAAATCTTTGCCTTCCTGCCCCCACCAGAATGGCCGCAGAGCCCAGCGCCGGCTTTCCGCCCTCCCGTTTTACAAAATGCACGCCTCCTATCACCACTCAGCAAATGTGTCTCTGTGCGTGCTGGGTCCTGTGCTAGCAATCCCTGCCTGTCCTCAGGTAGCCCAGAGTCTTCGGAGGATGGAGCTGTGCTCTCGTGATCAAATAGTGCCTCTGGGAGGGCGAGCTGCCTGCAGGGAGCAGAGCACGTCATGCCAGCCCTCCCTGGTGCATGGACTGGGAGTGGGGACATTGCAGGCTCTTTCCCAGACTGCTTATGCTGGACTTTCCCTTCTAATACATCTCGGTACTAGATAAACACAAGGCACTAATATGGAAACCCTTGCAGTGACAGGTCAATGAAGTAAAGGGGCTGGATTCAACTGAGGCTGTGTTTATTAAGGACCTATGGGTGGGCACTGCAGTGGGGAGTATGACAATTGCAGTGTGCAGGGACTTCAGTTACTATCGAGGTGTACTTTCTGATCTCAAACGTTGACCTTCCTGCAGAGCCCACTGTGCATTCTTATCCAGGAGCCAGGTCTGCCTTTGGCCCTCCAGCATCTTCCATTATCATTCTGGGGTGTGTTGGCGATGTGACCTCCTGGGCCTGCTGAGCAGGAGCCTTGGCAGGGCCTTCTCCAACCGAGGTTAGGCGAGGTGTTCAGGTGATGAAGAAGGAACCAGCTTCAGTGGGGTTTCTTGCTCCTCTTGCCTCTGTCAAGCCCCTTCAGCCCTTGCTCTCCTGGGTTTGAATTATAAGCACAGAGGACACAGGGCAGTGGGATCTCCCGTGTCCTGGCGGCAGAGGCGCTGGCGTCATCTCAGCCCCTTGTTTTCATTTATAACTCACATATGACTTGCTCTGAAACCTCTAAGAAGGAAATCTTCATTCGGCCAAACCCACCCAGCAGGGAGATGGGCTCAAAGAGCCCTGCCCTGACTCTACCAGACACCTGGAAAGACTGCCCTCCCACTGCTCACAGCACCAACAGCCTTTGTGTTTTCGTTTGAGCTCCGTTAACTCAATGTGGGGCCACATTAGAAAACCCAGGCATGGAGGGATTCCATTTATCTATTCCAAGAACGCAATTCCACTCTAGGGTAGGAAAAAGAACTTTATACAAACCCCAACTAGTTTAGCCTTACCCACTAGGACTTGGTTAAAAGCTTTTCTGACTTCATTTCTATTTAGGGAACATCACTGGAGGTCAGTCTTTAGGGTCAGTTTCAATCTTCCGTTCACCTGGAGACTAGAGAATGAGCAGGGTTTGAGGAGAGAAGTTGGTTCTGGAAGGTTCCCGCTTATGGGTGGAGCCACAAGCAGAAGATTGCCTTTTTCTTTCCTTGGGAAGCAGCTTCCGACAGGGTCCTAAACAGAGTCTGAGAGGCTGTTCTCAGCACAGTGGTTCTGAGAATGGGATGGCCTGGCCTGGGTGTGGATACCAGATGGGCCCCTCCGCAGTCCAAAGACTGTATAGGACTCTAGATACAATACTGGGGCCATTCCAAATATTTAACAGTGTTAAGGCATAGCCCCTGCTGGACCATGTCTTACTACTCAGCTTCAAAAAAGCTCAGGGGGCCTGGGACAGAGGCTCTAAGCAGCCAGGATGTTGGGGTTCTTCTGGGGGTGTTACCTGAACCAGCAGCAGCAGCAGGGCAGTTTGGTGTAGTGGAAGAACACGGGATTTGAACCGTGGTAAGTTAGGGTTCAAAGTCCAGACCTCACCCTTCTTGGCTACTTGATGGTGAGCTCACCAAACTCATCTTCCTCCTAATTAAAATGAGGGCACCCACCCACCCACCTCTGGGCTGTTGTGAATTGTCAATGCCCTCAAGACCCTCCCGCCACGCAGCGGAGGTCAGCCTATTTCCACTTGGGTCCCCTCCCAAGTGTGGAAACTATGTTGTCTGTGAACTGGCATCAAGGTGACCTCTGTGACTTACTCTGCCCTGAAGGGATGGCTCAGGCCTGTTTTCTCTTCTAAGCTCCAATGAAAGGGGAACTCAGGCTTCACAGAAAGCTGTTCTGCTTCCCAAAGTCACTGTGATTCCCAGGGGCAGGGCAGAGCTGTTCTCATACCTGTGACCTGCAGGGGCGCTGGGAGAGCTGGCGCCCCACCCTGCCAGGCGCCCCTGCCTGCATCTCCATATGACATGAGCTCTCTGAACTCTCTTCCCATTGATATCAGCCTGGCTGCCATCTCCAGCCCTCTACGGCCTCATCATCGACTCTGCCTGCATCCGGTGGAACTTTCAGTGTTCAGGGGGGCGAGGAGCCTGTGCCTACTACAACAATGATGCTCTCCGAAACAGGTAAGGGCCCAGCCTGTCCTGTGTCAAGGAGGTCAGTCCCCAGGTCTGAGCAAAGGGCAGTTATCTGCTCTCGTGGCTATTGTGGGGGCTGCGAGGCTTCCAAGCGAGAGGACTAGATGGGGAGCTGCCATAGACGGGGAGCAGGGGCCACTGGTTCCAGGCATTTCAGGGCTCACAGAGAGCCGTCCAAGTAACAAGACCCAGGAAATGCCCTGAGATGGCCCCCAATCTGTGGTGCCCACAGGCCCCTTAGAGGGACAGCAGCAGAAAGAAGTGGGTCAAAGGGCAAGAGGATGGCTGCAGTCTGAGGGAGAGGCCATGGCTGTAGACTGATGATGCCAGGCCAGCCTCCTTCCCACTGCTCAGAAAGAGGTGCCTCCATCATGGCTCCTGGCAGAGGTCAAAAGCAGGCTGGCCAAACCTGCCCCAGTGCCCCTGAGGTCTGCACGCCTTCCAGCTACCTCACCTGTTGCCGTCATCACACAGACAAGAAACAGTGGGGAAAGGAGGCTTGAGGGGGCTGGATGAGGTCTGGGAATAGTGTGAGAGTGGCACAGAAGGCCAGGAGAGGGGTGGACCAAGAGGGAGGCGAGAAGGTGCCTCTCTCCTGGCTTGCTGGGAGGACTGGACCCTCAGGCCTGGCTGGGGCTGCAGTGTCGCCTTTGGCCGCTGGGGGCGCCCGTACAAGGATGAGGAGCACTGGATTAGGAGTCCCATGCCTAGTCCCTGTCTACTTCCTGGGAGGCTTGTGCCCTTGTGAGTCAAAGGAATGAGGAAAGTGGACCCCATCTGAGTGCTGACAGATCCTTACCTGAGTGGTGACAACATATTCCCTGGGCGGCTGTGAGAATAATGCTGCTCTTCCTGGTGGCCGTGGCCCTAGCACACGGGCCACTGCGCCTCCACACCCCCTCACCAGTCCTGTGTCCTCCTGCCTCACAGGTACCTGGGCCTGCAGGTGGGCTACAAGGCTCTGGGCATGCTGCTGCTCTTCTTCATCAGCTGGCGGGTGAAGAAGAGCAAGGAGTACAATGTGCAGGAGAAGGCTGCAGGCCTCATCTGACCCCTGCCCCTCGGCCCAGCGCCCCCCACTCCAGAGGGTGGACCTGCCCCTCCACACCTGTCTATATTTACTAATGTTCACACGTCATTTCATTTCTGTTTTTTAAATAAGAAAGAAAACTCCAGTCACCGATTGTCTTTCCTTCCTCCTCCCCAAGTTCCCCCCCTTCCCCGGGTTCCTGAGGGCCTCTGAGCCCCTGGGCTGAGTGGACACAGAGCTAGAGGGCCAGACCTTCCCTGCCCCCTTGGGAGGGGCCCCCCACATGCCCAGGCTTTCCTCAGTGCTGAGTCCTCC